ACTGTCATTTTTGACTCTGGCTAAAGATGAGGATTTTGTCTGTTTGCCTGGTAGTTGGGGGCATTTTTTTCCTTTTGAATGGTGAGCCAAGCACGTTCAGGTGGGAGAAATATTTTGCACAGACACTAGCCACTGTTTCTAAGGAATAGGTTTGTCGGGGAATGCTCTCAGGGTTTAGGATGAGAAAGTAATTATTTTTCTTTTGTGTCCCTAGAGCAATCTGCAGCAAGTCTAATGAACGTGTGTGTGCATTGCTTTTGTCAGCAAATATTTTTTCTTTTTAAAATCTTTTTTTTTTTTTCTTTACCATCAATACCACAGTGCTTCATATTGTCAGCAAGTATATATTAAGTCTCTCCTATGTGTCGTGGAAGGTTCTAGGTGATGGGGATCCAGCAGTGAACAAAACGTTTCTGCGTTCATGGAACTTAGTGTCTGATGGGAGGATGAGCAGAGTGTTGAAGCAGAGTGAGGAGACGGGGCTGGGGTTGTTATTTTAGACTTTGATAATATACGTGATATTATTTTAGGTGGGGGTTCAGGCAGGTCTCTGAGGTGGGGCCTGACAGAGGTGAGGGAGCAAGCCTCACTAAGCCCCTCAAAGGTTGGGGAAGAATGTTCCAGAAACAGCAGGTGCGAGGCCCTGCGGCGGAGAGCCCGCCTAGCTGGGGAGCTGCGAGGGTGACAGGGAGTGAGGTCAGGCAGCGAGCTGGGGGTCATGTACCTTGGCAAGGGTCTGTGGTATCCCCCAAAATTTTTGGTTTTGGGGCTAGTCAAATGTTTTTCTTCTGTTTGTCACTAGGATGTCAGATTTGCCTTTCCACCTGGTCTTGTGCCACGTCTAATCAGTGTCCCGTCTGGCTGACCTTCTGTCCCTCTGGTCTGATTGCGGACCCTGATCCCTCCCCAACCCTCCTGCTCCCTTGTTCCCCCAACTGCCTGCTCACCCTGCTTTCTCTGTCCCCACAGGTTCAAGGATGGCCCAGCCCCTGCCCACGAGCCGTCCCACCGCTACGGTGCGTGGGTTACCTGGGGTCGGAGGAGGCAGCTGGCTGGGCTGGGCCTGGGGTGGAGAGGTGGGTGTGCCATGCCCCCTCCCCTGACTCCTCCTGGGTTCTGTTGCAGATGACCAGGCCTGGGCCCGGCCCCCCAAGCCCGCGACCTTTGGGGAGTTCCTGTCCCAGCACAAAGCTGAGGTCAGCAGTCGCAGGAGGAGAAAGAGCAGCCGGCCCCAGGCCAAGGCAGCCCCCCGTGCCTACAGGTGGGGGCTTCCTTCCCCAGCATTTTTGCCCCTCCAGGGCTATCCCCAGGGTGTTCTCTGACTTGCCTGTGAATGTATGGGTCCATCTGTCTGTCCCTGTCTTAGTCCCTCTCAGGGACTGGGTTTTAGGGGGTTGGAGTGTGGCTCTTGGCTTTACCCTCATTTGTCCCCTTTCCCCCTCCCACCCATCTCTCCTCCTGCCCCCTGCCCCCCCTTCTATCTCTTTGTCCTTGACACTTGGGGACACACCTCTACCACTCTCTCAGTGCTCGAACATGCTGGGTCCTCTCTGGGCAGCTCCCCCACGGGGAGAGGCGGGAGGTAAGCCGCCCCTTCCTCCTGTCCCCCTCCCCCTGGGCCTCACCGTTTTCCTCTGTTCCTTCCAGTGACCATGATGACCGCTGGGAGATGAAAGAGGAGGCAGTGTCCCCAGCCCCGGAGGCCCTGCAGCCCACCTCCCCCACGGAGACACCCACGCAGGTGAGGCAGGGCTGCTGCCGGGGCAGGGGTGTGTGGGGTGCCTGGGGTTGTGCCTCCCTGACCCACCCTGTTCCCACAGCCACCCGAGACCCCTGCCCCTGCCCACCGGCCTCCTGAGGATGAGGGAGAGGAGAACGAGGGGGAGGAGGATGAAGAGTGGGAGGACATGAGTGAGGATGTGAGTGAGGACGAGAATGAGGAGGATGTCGAGGAGGAAGTCGACGGTGACGAGCAGGAAGAACCAGCCCAAGACCACCACCCCCAAGAGGCTGACCCTGCCGGGAACCCCACCAGTGAGCCGGCTGACAGAGTGTCCTCCAGCCCCGAGGAGCCCCTGCCACTTCCCCAGGCCCCTGCCACACCTTCCAGCCCCTTCTCACCACCTGGCAGCCACCAGCCTGTGTCCGACTGGGGTGAAGAGATGGAGCTGAATTCTCCCCGGACCGCCCACGCGGCTGGCGCCCTCTCTTCGGGTGAGGCCTGGCCTTTTGGGAATGCATGAAGCTGGCTGCCCGTGTGTGCTCGCATGCGCCAGGGGTGTGGCTGGAGGTGGGGATGCTTGGGGGCTGGGCACCAGGACCCCGTGTGCCCCACAGCCCTGGCGGCTGGGGAGGGAAGTCCACTGCCTCCTCTGTAGTGTCATGCCCCTGTCTCTGGAATGCCCACTCCCAGAGCCTGCCCCGGGCCATTCAGAGCCCCCTCCCCAATAAAGAATTCTCATCCTCAAATGACATTCCCCCAAGCCTGTCCTTCAACCCCCTCTAACTCCCCCTGGGCCTTCTCTCTTGGGGTGGGGAGATGTGGGAGGGGGCTTAACTGGGCCTCCCCTTCCCCAGGAGGTGACCAGCCAGCCCCTGCCTCCCTGGAGAGTGGGCCCAGCCTCCCAGGAACTCAGAAAGCTGAAGAAGAGGGGTCTGAGGCAACTCCAGGTGGGGGAGTGCATGGGGTGGTTGGGGGGGGTGAAAGTGGCCACCTTCCTCTTCCTCTGGGGTTAAGGGGCACAAGGGCTTGGGTGAGGCTCCACCGGGAGTGTGTGGGGGTAGCATTTGGTGAGGTCAGAATATGGCCATGTTGTGGATGGGATTGCCACGGGAGTGGGGCCACGGGAGTGGGGCTCAGGGGTGGAAGCGATGAGGAGGTGGAGGGAGGATGGCATTAGACTTTAGAGGTCCAGCCTGTGCAAGAGCGAGAGACCCCGTCTCTACAAAAAATAGAAAAATTAGCAAGGCGTGGTGGTGTGCACCTGTAGTCCCAGCTACTTGGAAGGCCGAGGCAGGAGGATTGCTTGAGCCCTGGAGTTTGAGGTTGCAGTGAGCTATGATGACACCACTGCACTCTAACCCCTGCGACAGAGTTTGTCTCAAAAAGAAAAAAAAAATTGACCCCCAGGGCTTTGTGGAAACAAGATACAGGCAATGGGGTGGGGCTGGGTAGTAGGGTCCAAGCTTAGGGCTGGACTTTGAAATTTGAACTGGCCCGTAAAGGTTAAAAAAAGGGCCAAGGGGTGGAGGAATGGATTTAGCTCTGGGTGAGATTAGAGTTTTGAGGTGCAAACAAGTGGGGTAGATAAATTAGAATAGATGCGGACCCGGTTAGAATTTTGGGACCAACAGAATGGGAGCAAGAGGTGGAACCCCTAGCCTCACTTCCACAGGGCAGGAGCCAGATTTCCAACCAGGGAACCGCCCCCCTCGCCCAATGTAGGATCAGGGTTGGGGCACAGCGAGGAAGGAAGGGCTGGTTAGGATGTCCGGCGGTGGGGAAGGAAAGCGGAGGGAGGGTGCTGTAGGGCTCGCTTTATGCAGGTTAGGACTGTGAGATGGGGCTGGGACTAGGATTGGAGGGGACATCTTGGGTTGGTGGGTGGGCTGGGGCCCAAGCGCTCTGTCTTTGGCCACGTGTTGGCTGGGTGATGGCTACCCCAGCGTTTCCTCCACTGTAAACAGGGTTACGTTGGTGTTGTATGCTGCTTCGTGGATCCACTGAGAGGATTAAAGGAGTCTGCAGCCTGTAAACCGCTTAGCGCGGGGCAGCTGCGACAGACTCGATTGGGATGGGCGTGGCTAGACGGGAGAGGGGCCCTGGGACTGAGAGAGGTGGGAAGATTGTTCCCCCTCTTCTAATCCTCCCTTCTGTTCCCAGAGGCAGGCCCCGAGGGCCAGGAGACAGCGGAGATCACCGACTTCCAGAGGGTGCGTTTCTGCAAGGTGGTGGCGGCCGCTCCGCCACCGGGGGCCGCCCGCTGACCGCGCCCGCCGGACCACGGCCTCCGGCCTCCGCGCTCTGCACTAACCTCCCGCCGCCTCGCTCCTCTGTCCTCTGCTTCTGCCACACTCCAGCCAGGAGAGGGTTAAATGTAAGGGGGGAGGAGCCATGGTCAGTGAGCGGGGCGGAGCCAGGGCAGTAGTCTGAATTTTGTGAGGACTCGGTCCGGGCCCTACAAGTGGGGAACATCGCCTCCGTGTTAGCCTCCCATGGAGGCCGTGGGGGGGCCAGGTGCAGTCCCCAGGCTTAATTTCTCGCCTCCAGGAGGTTACATCTGGGGCATGGCAAATAGCCGGCGACTCTTCCGAAGGGCTTGAATCACTCGGGCGTCAGCCTCGTCTCTATTAAACGCAGTGCTTCCGCTAACCCTCGAACTGTGTTTCTGGCGGGGGCAGCCTGGGTTGCTGTGCTTGGCGGGCTTTTCCGTGGCGGAAGAGGCGGGAGGAAGGGGTCTTCTTTCCTCCACTCACCCTGATACGTCTTCCCCCTCCCGCAGGCCTCCCCGAATTCCTGAAGACGCTGCTGGGAGGGGACTGAAGCTTCCCCGCCTTGATGGGGAGGGGGCGTAAGGAGGGGTTTATCTGGATTTCCAGCCTGTGTTCTCCTCCCCAGTCTGCACCCCACGTCTCTAGGGAGAGGGAGAAATTGAGGGGAGTGGGGAAGGGGCGCGATTGGGGCGAGGGGCGGAGCTGGAACCTCTGGAAGCGGGGTTAGACCTCAGGACACCGGAGAGGGCGGCCGACTGCGTGGAAGAGTAGGCAGCTGGTGCCAGGAGAGGCGGGGTTAGGGTGCATGGGCGGGGCCAGGATTCTGGTAGGCGGAGTTAGAAGACGGGGCGGGGGTAGCATGTGGGGGTGGGGCTAGGCCTCTGGGAGCCGGTTTGCATAGGGGCTTGACGCTGATGAGGGGGGCCGCCAGTGGGGGCGTGGCCAGAATGCTGTGCGGAGCCTGTGGAGTGAGGAGAAAAGGGGGGCTTGGACTGCAATGTGTTGAGGCCAGAGGGGGAAGAGGGCGGGTTCGAATCCTGGAGTAGACAGTCCGGGTCATGGGGCGAAAACAGGGTTGAGGCTGGGGGCCGCGGCTACAGCGCTGGGCGAAGCTTGAGCGTGGAAAGGGGGCGGGCTTGGAGACGGGGCGGACCTATGCCGCGGGGGAGGCCCGCCCTCTCGGGGGCGTGGCCATGCCTGGCGGGGGCGGAGTCGGGGAGGGCGGTTTAGGCAGTGAGGCGGTCCTGGGGGGCCGTGCGGGGCGGGGCCTGTGCGGCCGCGGTGCGGGCCGAGTGGGCTGCGGGGATGCGGGGCACGAGCTGTGTGGGCGGCGGCGGCGAAAGCCCTGGCGGCGCCGGGCTGAGCGAGGGCCCGCGGGGCCGCTGGCTGCGCCTGGCCCCGGTCTGCGCCTACTTCCTCTGCGTCTCGCTGGCCGCCGTGCTGCTCGCCGTGTACTACGGTCTCATCTGGGTCCCCACGCGGCCCCCCGCGGGCCCCGCCGGCCCGCTGCCCAGCGCGCCGTCTCCTCCGTGTGCTGCCCGCCCGGGCGCGCCACCCGCCCCGGCGCCCGCCGCTGCCTCCATCTCCTGCCTCCTGGGAGCCCCCGGCGGGCCGCGACCCCAGCTCCAGCTGCCGCCGAGCCGCCGCCGCCGCAGCGCCCCTAGCCGTGGCCCAAGCCGCCAGACGCCCAGAGAGACGCCAGAGGCCGCGGGGGGCTGAGGACCCGGGTAACCCTCCCTTCCACCCCAACCCGGACCATCAGCCCTCGAGAGCCCGGTGCTCCATGCCGTGGATGCGCCGGCCCCGGGTGGGCCCGGGCTCCCTCTTAATGACATCGCCCAGCGTGTCCGGAGGCGTCATCCTGAAGAATGGGGGGTAAGGGGGTGTTGGCTCGGGGCCTCACCCCTTGCAGCTCCTCGGCTGTGAGGCCGGGTCCTCCACCATCTGGCGGACACCATCCCGACTTCTGCCTCCTATCCTCCCCTTCTAGGATTCTGAGCACAGAGCCCACAGCTCACCCTTCTCATCTCCCTGAATCTCTGTGTCTGTCTGTCCATCTGCAATAAACTCCAGCCGCAGGTGCCTCGTGCTGTGTCTGGCCTGTTGTCTGCAGAGATGTCGCCTCCCAAGTTGTGAGGGGAAGTCCCTGGGGTGTAGCCTTTGTCTTTCTTGCCCCTGGTGGGCTGTGTGGGCTTTTCCCTTTCCCTAGGAGGCCCTCTTTTCTTTCATCGCCCTCATGTAATTTTCGGTTTGGAGAGGGGAGAAGAGGCTTATCAACAACAGGGCTTTTGAAGGTCAGACACTATGAAGGACTTCCTAGTGTTTTATGTGCTTGGGGCAGAGGACAAGTGTCTTTCTGGAGAGAAGCGCTTGTCTCTGTTACGTGTTACTTTTCACTGTAACACGCTCTCGTGTTACAGCCTGGGAGACAGGAGGAGGTGGGGTGATTTGGGGGCAAGAACTGAGGTTCGGGGAGTTGCTGTTAGTATGATGAGCATGTCAGAGACAGAGGCTAAATCACCCTGAGATGTCAGTTCGCTGCTGGGAGGGAATGATACTTGCCTTCTTCCTGGGGTTAGAGAGATGAGGGTCGACAGGGGTGGTCGTGGTACTTCTCTGCCTCTGGAAACCTCAGAGCAAGTTACCAGAACACTGTGCTGCCTTTGAAGATCAGTACAACCTCTCTGGCCTACAATGCCAAGTAATCATGGCTGGGAAACTTAGGTCTAGCTTCTGGAGAAGGAGTCAGAGGTAGTTGCGTCCATATTCCCTCCTGGAAGACCGAGGCCTGGCTCTGGGCAGGGCCTGGGATCTGGCATGCAGGAAGCGGTTTTCTTGGCCAGCCAGCCCCCTTGAGCTGGAGGCTCTCCCGGGAGAGTGAAGCTGAGCCTCTTCTCTCAGACTGGGAGAGGTGACTGTAGACAGTGGAATTTAGGGAGCCAGCACCTCTTTAGAGTCAGTAATAGGTGGCGGTTAGGAGCACTGACTTTGGGGCCAGGCTGCCCAGGTTCAAATCCCACCCAGCTCTTGTTCTCATTGCCTGTGTGACTTCGGGCAGGTCACGCCATCTCTCTGGTCTTGGAAAATGAAGACAGGGAGAGTGCTTAAGAGAGAGGCTCCGAGGAATAAATAAGCTAGTGATCTAAAGCCCTGAGAACAGTGTCACATGTCTCTCTACCACCTCTGTCCCTCAGGGCTTTAAAAGCCCCAGCTTGGATCCCGAGGGATATCAAATCGGCCCAAAGCCTTGGACATCAGTACATGCCGAGTTAGAGGGAGGGACCTCTCTGTCTGTTCCCACGCCCCCTCTTAGAGTTTCCACTCTGCCCTCCCAGACCCATTCTTCTTAATCGTTCTTTTCTTTGTTTCTGTATCTCTTCTCTCTTTTTTCTTTCTGTGTTTGTCTCTCTGCATCTCGGTCTTTGTGTATCCCCGCATCTGTCCCTGACGTCCCTCAGTGTTGTCCGTCTCTCCCATTCTCTGTCTCGCCTCTATTATTTTCTGACCCCAGCTCACTTGCTCTTCTCTCCACCACACTTCTCTCCCCCATCTTGCCCTGCCATCTTCTCCCAAGTTGCTCTCCCTTTCCTGTCCCCAATGCCGCCCACCTGTGTCCCCACCTCCTCCTCCCCCCCAGTCTCAGCCTCCCTGCCTTTCCACCATCTCCTCCTCTTTCTGTTTCTCCTCCTGTTTCTCTGTCTCTCTTTTGGTCTCTATCTTTTAATCTTTAACAAATATTTTTTGAACCATCTACTGTGTACCGGGCTTATTTTAAACACCAACAACATGGCAGTGAACAAAACAGGCAAAAATTTCTGCTCTCAATGAGACTGACATATTAGTGGGGAAACAGACAAGAAATACCGTTAATAACTTGAATATATGGTATGTCAGGTAGTAATAAGCACAAAGAATTAAAATGAAGCAGGGTAAAGTGTAGGGAGTGACAGAGAAGCTGGTTTCTGGGTAGAAGCCTGAGGCAGGTGAGGATGGCGCAGCAGGAACAGGAAGTGCAAAGGCCCTGAGGCTTGTTCAGGGACCGGTAAAGAGGCCACTGTGGCTGGAGCAAGACGGAGTGAGGGGGCGAGCGGGAGGAGGGAATGAGGGGAGAGATAAATGGCACGTTGGTCAGGGCTTCGTGGGCCATGGTGTGGACTTCGGCTTTTATGAGGTGGGAGCCATGGGAGGGTCGCCAGATGATTTAGACGTTAAGACCCTGTGACTGCTGTATGGAGAATGGACTGTAGGGGGCGACGGTGGAAGCCGGGAGCCCAGCGAGGAGGCCACTGCCATGGTTCAGGTGAGGGATGATGGTGGCCGGACCAGGCTGTTGGCTGGGGAGGAGGTAGAAGTGGGCGGTCAAAATGGATAGTGGTGAAGTGCACGTAGTATAAAAGTCCGCATTCTAATCAGTGTAAAGCGCACAGTTCGGTGGCGTTAAGTACATTTACACTGCTTTGCCGCCATCACCACCAGCCTTCTCCAGAATGTCTTCATCTTCCCAAAATGAGACCCCGTACCCCCTGAACACTGACTCTCCCCTCAGCCCCTGGCAACCACGAGTCTACTTCCCGTCCGTGTGAACTCGCCTATTCCGGACACTTCATGTAAAAGGAATCATAGAATATGTAGCTTTTTGTGTCCAGCCTCTTCCACTCAGCGTCGTGTTTTCAGGGTCCATCCGTGCTGTGGCCTGTACGGTGCTTCACTCCTTTCTGTGGCTGAGGAACATTCCAGGGGATGCATGTACCACGTTTCGTTTATCTGTTCATTATCCGATGGCCTTTTGGGTTGCTCCCACCTTCCGGCTATTGTGAATAGTGCGGCTATGAACATTTGTGGACAAGATTGTGTTTGAACACCTGTTTTTAATTCTTACGGGTACCCAGGAGTGGAATTGCTGAGTTCCTTGATAACCTGTGTTTCATTTATTAAGGAACCACCAAAAAAAAAAATCTGTATATATTTCGAAGATACCCCCGACTGATTGGCTGTGGGGTGTGAGAGAGGGCCACCTGGGGGGTGGGGAGACCCGTGCCGGGACCAGAGACTGGGGAGCAGCGAGGTGAGGGTGTTCAGTGCCTTCTCCTTTCCATGTCTCTCTTCCTGTCTCCTGCAGACTCACTGTGTTCTCTCCCCCCGTGCTTCTCCTATGTCTCTCCCTTCTCTCCCGCCTCCAGTTCTAAATTATATTGATTAAAAGGGACATGCCCCTCTGCAACCTCCCACTGGCTTCCCACCTTTAACAGTCCAGGGAAAACTTGAAGAGATCAATGTCAGCCCTTCATGGATTTCAGGATTTCAAAAAGGTTCCAAAAATTCTCTTGTAACTTCACTTCTCTGCCTCAGTCTCCTTATCCATAAAAGGGGATAATAATAGTGCCGGCTTTGCAGAGGGGTTGTGAAAATTCAAGGCAAGGCCTGCGTCTACCTTTAGCACAGGGCTGGGAACAGTCAGAGCCCCAAAGATGGTGGTGATTCCTTGGTGTCACTTTGAGCGCAGCCCTGTCGGGGGCAGTGCTGGGGACATGGGGTGACCACGACAACCTCGGTCCGGCCCTCATGGGTTTCACATTTCAGTGGAGGACAGATTTGTCCCCAGACATTGATGATCCAGAATGGGTAGGGCTGGAATGAGGGAGTTCAGTGGGCTGAGGGAGCCCAGAGGCAGGGGTCAGGGAGGGCTTCCTGGGGGAGGCTCCTTAGTCATATTCTTCGAGTTGTTCTTTCGATCCAGGTAGCTTGACTTGGGGGTGGGCAGAGGGTGAGGCATCCGTTAGGAAGGGCTTGGTTCCGAGTAACAGACATGCCCAACTCTACCTGGCTTACACAACAGGAAGCTCTCCTCGCTCACATACCCAGCATTCCAGAAGATGGGCAGCCTTCCATAGAGCAACCAGACCTTATTCCAAGCGCTTGATTTATCCAACTCTCATGACTAGATGATGAGACAAGTAATATTATCATCCCCCATTTACCGATTTGGAAACCGAAGCTCAGAGCAAATGAGTGGCAGAACGAAGACTTGAGGGCCAGGCAGTCCGATCCCAGATCCTCAGCTCTTAACCTCTACCTGGTGTCACTGGGGACTTTGTTATGATAGTTCGGGTCCTGTGGAAAGCAGATGCCAAGACCGGATCAGATGTGCAAAAAATTTGTTGAGGAAAACACTCGTGACGGATAAAGGGGAAGGAGGGGGAGTGTGTGTGGCAGGGAGCACCTTCGGAAATGACACGGGCGTGAGAGCTGTGAAGGAGAGAGGGAGGAGGGACTGCGTGGACGAGCCTCAGGCTGCAACACAGTTCTGAGAAAGCCTGGCAGGGACGTTTACGAGCGGGAGAGGGGCCCCGAGCAAAGGAGCCCTGCGGCGGGCAGCAATGGCTGCTCTAACACGCACCTGTGTTCTGTCACTGGCTGGGAGCAGCCCGAGGGGTGGCCTTGGCTCCCATGCCATGGGGCTGCCAGGCAGCTGTGATCAGGCAGGCAGGGTCTCTTAACAGGAGAGCTGAGCAGGTCCCCAGCATGGGGACCTAAACTGTTTCCAGTTGTTTCTGTGCGCAGAGCTGGCTTCATCCCCAAGCTGCTTGCTCTCAAGGCAGTAGGCCAAGCGCCCAGAGATTCGGAAACCTGAGAGCGGCTGTGAGATAAAGAGGCCTGAACCCTACTGGTGGCCAAAAGGGCTTTCCTTCAATCTGATTGGATCAAAGTGGGTCACATGACAAGCTCGGACACAATGCCTGCACCAGGGGACTGTCAGGTGTTGGTTGGTTAAGGCTTAGGTTCCTGAACCACTCACAGGCAAGTGAAGGCGGGATTACTGTGAAGATTTGGACCAATCGGGACCCAGCAGGACCCAGCCCAGGATCTGGCATCAGCGCGTGGACATTCCAGTTTGGCAGCCCAACTGCAAGGGCCGGGGCTGCCAATAGGGGGCGCCCTAGGACCACCGTTTCCCTGGATGACCCCCCCCCGCCGCGCCCCCGCTTACACCCATCCCCAAACCTGGAATGGAAAATTTACAATTAAAGCAGGGGTATATGTGGATGTAAACGTAAGGAGCCTGCTAATCAA